CAAAGTCACACAGCACAACAAACCTTACACAAGAGATTTGCTGGGAAAGACATGGAAAAGAAGGACGGAAGGAGGGAGGGAGGGAGAGAGGGTACTGCTCTGGCAAGAGATAGCAGGGAACTAAACAGAAGGCAGGGTTTGTATAGTTTCTTGGGGGAGGGGGTGGAACTTTTCAGACTGAAGCTTCCTAGGGTTGGGATTGGCGGAATTTCAAATCCAAAGCTTGGGCTTTTTACTCTGTAGGGTAGGGGCAAGATCCAGCCATTAGGGCAGTTAGAGTGTTCTGTGGGTGGAACCTGGCATTTGGAGGTTCTCAGGAAAGGGTCCTGGCCACTCGTGTGGCTTGAGGGGCTTATAGGTAGAATTTTAGTAAAGGTTTTACTCTAACTCATTGAAGGTGATAGATAAGTACATGGTAAGTACCTTAAAGAGGTACTTTAAAAAATATGGTTAAAGAAAGGGTGTTGAGAGATTGGAGAGCTGACTCTCGAGTTACAGGCACTCCCTGACCTTTCTGATGATGTGGGTTCAATTCCTAACACCACACAATGGCTCACAATAGTCCATTACTCCAGTTTCAGGTGATTCAAAGCGCCCTCTTCTTTCCCTTATGGGTACCACATGCATATAGTGCATATAAACACACACACACACAAACCACTTTGGAATTTTGCAAAGCTGATGATAACACACCTGTAAAGTAGAACATACAAGCTACCGGATCTATTTCTGAATGTTTATGTCTTGGTTTCAGAGCAAATGATACCCATACAAAAATAACCATGGTGGCATGTGTAATAACAAAAAATTTAACATTACTTCAAGTAAATGAACTGTGGCTTGTTTACTGTCTATGAAGGAGTGTCGGATATCAACAAGAATTGTTTTGTCTTTTTAAACTTTCCCTCTTATTGTTATGTGTATGAGTGTTTGCCCCAACTGTACCCACTTGCATGTACATAGAGGCCAGAAGAAGGCATCAGATCTCATAGGACAAGTTACAGACAAGACAGGTGTGAGCTGCCATGTGGGTGCTGGGGACTGAACCCAGGTTCTCTGCAAGAGCGGCCAGTGCTCTTAACTACAAAGCCATCTCTCTTGCCCTCAAAATCATTGTTTTCTTACAAGAGTGTGAATTAACCTTGAAACATGGTATAACTAATCTGAGAAGGTCACAAGGGGAGTTTTATTTAGGTTAAAAGCAAGTAAGACTAAATTATACATATGAAAACAAATCTATTTGAAAAACAAGAAAACAGAATTCCTGCTTCTTGTTGTGGAGAGTAGGGCTGTGATGGGAAGGCATGCTCAGGGAGTTCCAGGGGTGTGGGTAATAATCCAGTTGTGGCATTGGACACAATGTTTACAGCTGCATAGTTGGTTAAAATATATGCCTACAGAATCTATGCGTGCTTTGCATATGTTATTTCACAAGCATCAACAAAATTTTCATCACAAAAGATCCCTATGTAGCAGGTATACAATATTGAATCTGGTATATCCAGGTAGAGATGTTTAATTGACATCACTTAGCAGAGAGATCTAGGTCAGCACTTCAGGGTAGAAAGTTCTCTCCATAAGTATCTTCATACAATTAGGGACCAAATTTAGTGAAAGATATGTGTGTTCATGAGTATGACTAACGTGTATAGTGGAAACAACAATTTCTTTAAAGGGGACAAGCCTTAAGGGAACAGCAAGTGTCCCTGAGCACATTGTCCCTCTGAACAAAAAATATCAGGGTGTCCCTGAAACAGGAAGCTGAAAGGCTTGTGGCTAGAATGGACTGTCTCAGGTTAGAGGCTTAGTTCTTCCAAATATCACCACTAGGGGAAAAGAAGGCATGAAGGATGCCTGAGCTTGCTATATTCCTTAAGAGTTAGACCATAGTCTGGGCATTTGAAAGCAGCTGTCCTCTGGGTAGAGCTTCACCTAGTTCAGGAATTGATAGACTGAAAGTATCCAAACAGCAAATACCCCCTCCACACACACACACTCCTCCATGATGAAGGAAGAAGATGCCATCAGAAAATCCATTGCCTGAGGCCTACCTGGGGCTACTCTACCCTCGGAAACATGGCCTCTCATTCTGTTTCCCAAACTCCTCTGTAGGGATTCATGGTGTTTATAACATGAAGCCACCATTGCTTTCGAGGTGGAGATGTGTGGAACATTTTGCAAGAAGAAGAAAAACAGCTGTTTAGTCATCTTCCAAGGGGACACACAGTGAGTTCTCCTGAGATGCTTTCTAGCGGCCCCTGGGAACAATTACTGTTTCTGTTGTGAATCTCGCATTTCCTTGAGTGGCAGCTATAACATAAATTGCATTTGGCCAATACTGGGGAAAATGCCTTTAGAAATAAAACTAAGCCAGAGCCTCTGCTACATGACCAGAAAGGGGCATATGATTCAAAGGGAGAAGGTTGTTCGCATTCTGGATACAAACTGAGCATGGCTTAGGTATGAGAAATGATGCAAACAGGAAACTCTCCTATAGCTATTTACAGTATGGGTTTGTCACTAAGGATGACAGCAAGATGGTAGAACAATGGCTAAGAAGAAACGGAATTGATGCATCAGCAACACAGACTCAGGGATGGGCCTGGAACTTTAGGGGTTTTCATTCCTGTTCTTGGTTATGTTTTTCATGGGATTTTCAACATGTATCCTTAGCTGGTCTATGTAGAGCAAGCTGATCCCAACTTGGTGGCAACCCGTTTGTCTCTGCCTCCTAAATGCTGGGATTATGTGTTTGCACCATCATGCCCAGCTCCTAAGTTTTGAAACTTACAGAAAATGAGGAGCATTCTAGATGAAGGAGAGAAGAGGCCTGGTCAAAGTATTCATGTGATGAGTCAATCTTGGGCTCACTTGATCACAGAAGAAAAGGGAGGCATTGAATTCACTCAACAGTCCCCACTTAGAAGATAACTGAGTGACAAATACAGGGTTCAGCTCCCACTCCACGTGATGATAAGGAATCCTTAACGGCTCCAAACAGCACCCCATTTAAATGCAACATCCGAATGAGTCTCACTTGAACAAATTGTTGGTAAATCCTATTATTTACATTCCACATCAGGTCTGATACCTGATGACGTGGCTAATACATGACAATGCCGTAGTTTCTGGCCATGCTGCCAGTGTGTACTCCAAGCTGCTTTCTCAGCCCCTATGCCCTGGCATGACTTCTACGCAGCACACTTGGATGAAGGTGTTGTAGGCTGGACAGATCCCACCTCATGTGGGCTTGCTCGTGTTTCTGCTGGAATCTGGTTCCCTGAACCAAGCTGACTTCCCTAAAATTCTAAAATTCCACATGTATTCCTATAAGAGCCATGCTTCAGTTTGCAGAGAAGACAATCAAGTACTTGGTAAATCTAACCATGCTGTGGGAAATGTTTAAAGCTGTTTCTGCAAGGGTGAACAACTAGATAGGTTAAAAGAAAAAGAAAAAGAAAAAGAAAACATAGAAAATACAAGACAAAGGGCTGTTGGTTTTGTCCTTTTACACAGACAGAAGTAAATATTTAGAAAATGGATGTGAGAGAGGGATTTTCAGTATTAGAATAAATTTACCATGGCACTTGGTTCTAGGAGTGTGGCACAAGAGGAAATCCTGGGCCATGTCCTTAGTTAGGTTTCTATTACTTTGATAAACACCATGACTGCAAGGGGAGGAAAGAATTTCGTCTTCCAGCTCACAGACTGTATATGAGGGAAGACAGGGCAGAAACTGAAGCAAGGACCACAGAGGATCTCTGCTTCCTGGCTTTCTCTATATGGCTTGCTCAGCCTACTCTCTTATATAGTCTAGACCCACCTGCCCTGGAGCAGCACTGCTCACAGTGGGCTGTGCCCTCCTATATCAACCATTAATCAAGGAAACGCTGACAAAAACAAACAGATGAATGAATGAATCACTGACCAGCAGTGGACCATCCGACCAGCAGATGGATCTCTGCATCTCAGAAAGAGCTTTGCCTCCTAGGAACTTTTATCATCATCACATTGCGTATCTATTCACTGGACAAGCATCTGTTGAACATCAGCTCTTGTCTGGGATGCTCCAAACACTTGGATGTGATAGGTAATAATCTATTTACTCTCCACATAGAAAATGTAGTGTCAAGCTCAGGCCAACATGCCTTTCTTTGGAGCCCATAATATTGAAAGTTCTTCAGCTCATGTAGGCTCTGTCACAGTCACTCACTTACTGAGGCGGCACAAAAGTGGCCAGAGATGATACAGGGAGGAATAGACTTGGCAGGGCACAATACTTAAAGCAAACAGGTGGTAAGCTAAGTCTGGTCTAAAAGAAACAAAACAAAAGTCCTGCTTTGTTTGTATACTTATAAGTGCAAAGGCCCTGAGGCAAGAGGCTGTGCAACAATTTCAAGAAAGTTGGGTGGAGACTCATGCCTGCAATCTTGGCACTCAGGGCAGTCAGGGAGAAGTACCGAGGCAGGAGAATTCCTAGGAGCTCAAAGCCACCGTGGATTAGAATGAACTCCTATCTGAAAACAAACACCTAAAAGCATTAAAAGGCTTGATGCACAGGGAGAGGGGAGTGTCAGGAAAAAGAAGGACTGGCCAGTAGTTTTAAATTTTGCCGGAGACAACTATCCATCAGTTAGCACTTGGGTTATCTTAAGGATGTGGCATGACTGACTTTGCTTTTGAAAGTGTTCTTACTTCAGTATGTTGGATGAATTAGGTTACATTATTGCATTATAATACAATGATAATGCCGGAGGACAGATATACTTGCATATCAGATAGTGAGTTACACAAGGGGCCCTAGCAATGTTTTACATTAAGTAAACGATACAGGGCCACATGGTATCTTATAGGAAGCAGCCCTGACAGAAGGCTATCTGTTTTTCACCTTTCCTCTTTGAACAAAGACAGTGTGAAGTCAGGGAAGGTGCTTTGTTTATGTTTCCAGGCTGCTTGCACCAGGGTTACTACTCCTCAGGGTGTGTGCCAAGGGGAGGGAGCCTCCCTTGCTCTGGCTTCCTCTCCACACACTGCTCAGCTGATGCCTGCAGTCACGCTTGGATCCAGACTCAGCACCATCTGCCGGATTTGAAAGCCTCTCAAGAATGAGATGGATTCGCCCGAGAAACTGGATAAGGACAGCTTAGTGGGTAGGTTCCTTCCTCCTCTCTGAATGCCACACACACACTAGTCAGAGCAGGAGTGGAGCACTGGAGAGGTGTGATACGATCCCACGATCCCACGTAGACACTGAAATTGACTTCAGCTGGGCACACCTGAAATCCCAACACTCTGGAGGCTGAGGCAGGAGAATTGCTATGAGTTCAAGGCTGGCCTGGGCTGTATTGCACTGCCCTGTCTCAAAGAGGAGCGGGGCCTTCGATTCCATTTAGAACCCCTTGTTTCATATATACTATTTACTTTGGTTTTTGAATGGCGGTCTGTAACTTGTTCTCCTTCATTCCCTTTATTTATCTTTGCATCGTTTTCTTCACCTTCCGTAGCATAGATATGATGGAGGCTGACTTTTATCCACATTCAAATGTATCTGATGATACTATGATTAGGAGAAACATTGGCTTATGCTGAACAACTTCAAATGAATGGGAAGAAGTTGAGAGAGTAAGACTTAGCCTTTAAATACAAGTACTGCGCTTAGCCCTAGTGACGGGGGTGGGGGGGAAGGGGGTGGGGGTGGGGACTGGGAAGTGTTTGATTCTTGTTGCCTTCTCATACCTGACAGTTGTGGGGAAGGAAAGTCTTTACTATCATTTTACAAATGAACTGGGTCTTGGGGAGTTTAGAAACTGGTTAAACAGTGATGGTGGTAACACGGACTCGGGGAGTGTGCCTGTGCATGGGATTTATACTATGCTCTGTAACCTTCAGCTGCCAAAACCAGATTTCAAGGTGAAAGTTAAGAAAGCATTTAGCATGACTAACTGAGAAAAGAAAAACAGAATTTAGCAAAGTGGCAGTCTTTTTTTTTTTTTTTTTTTTTTTTTTTTTTTCCTTGACATAGGCATAGCAATGCTGATAGCCTGAAGCACTAGACATCATTTGAAAATTCGAGAACAGTTCTTCTCATGTCACTCAGGCTGTTGTGACTTGCCTGGTAGCTGAGGCCGCCACTCAACTTCTTGCCCTCACCTTCTAACTGTCGGGATTGCAGGCATACAACCACTGTGTCCTTTCTTTTATTTTAAGAGACAAGGTCTCACACTGTCAATAAGAAAACACAACTCTCCTTTCAAAAAAGAATAAGACATGGTTTATTTTTGAGCCAAATATGAGTGGCAGTGTCCTGGGAATGTGGAACGGAGCTGTCCCAAATTATATGTTCCACGGTGGAAATGGTTTGCAGGTCGCAACAGAGTAGAGGTGGGACCAGCCAGCCTCTTAAGGGGACTCCTTCCAAAAGGATTGGCTGATGTTCACATTGGTGTTGGGACAGACACAGGGGTGAGCCCTGAATGGGTGTTAAGGGAGGTGAAGAGCCCTGAGAATTTTACCTCCGCAGTTACAAATTCTGGACTCAGAAACTCCACAATTAGGAAGCTCCAATCAATTGATCAGCCTTATGTGGCTTTATGGGTGTGGGAGGTGGGGACTTCACACTTGATAGCTCATGTTGGCCATCCTCCTGCTTCAGGCTCTGTAGTGTTCATATTGCAGGTGTGTGTCATGCTGAACCTCACCTTTTTAAACCAGTGAATCTGTGAGGATTTTGGTTTCCACTCTAACAGGGTAAGACAGCACCTGAGCAGAGGGCATGACTGACGCCTCCTCATCAGTGAGGCATCTTAGAGTGACCATAGGTTTTTGTAGTTAGGACCTTTCAATCAAACAATAAACTTGTACTCTTGCAGAAAAAACAATCCGGGTCCGTGTTTCCTGTGCTGTTGAAAATGTATGAGAAATGCAATGTGGATTTTCTGAGACTTACAGACTGAGTTTGTCCTTCTTGGTTCTAATTCCAATACAATCAGGATCTAGTGACTAGTCCTCCCAATAATACGGAGTGTATAGTGAATTTATAGTTTGCTTAAAATCATTTTCAATGAAAGCTATTTGTCTCTTTTAGTAAAACAGACAGGTAGGAAAGATGAATTATACTGCTGAAACAGTGTTTATCCCTAGGGTTTAATGCTGGGTATTATATTTGATGCTGAAGGCTGAGATTCTCTGAAGAGGGATTCTAGAAGCTGTTGGAGTGTTGTTCCCACTGTGTCTTAACAGGATAGGAGGTGAAGGAGAGAGGGAGTGATGGAGAGAGGGAAGGAGGGAGAACATTTGGACAGGAGTTTCTTATGAAAACATTTCCTTATAAAAGCATAAATATATGTATATTTGAGAAAACAGAATTAGGATGTGGAGAGATGGATCAGCTGTTAAGAACACTCACTGCTCTTGCAGAAAACCTCAGCTCTGTTCCCAGCACCCACATGGTGGATCACAGTTATCTGCAACTCTAGTTCCAGGGCATCTGATGCCCTCCTCAAGCACTGTATGCACATGAGGCATGTATGTACACAAAGGCAAACACTCACACAACAAATAAAAAAAAATCTTTTCATAAAAACATCACAACATTTAAAAATTCAGAACCACTATGTTTCCACTACTCAGAAACATTTGCTTTAAATTTCTTCCAGAATTCTTTTATGCATGTATTTGTACTAATTGGAAGCCCACTAGCTGATGGTTTTATGCCATGCCATTTTTTTTTCCTGTTACTATCATCCTATAATGATTCTCAAGTACTTTTATAGACTATAAAAGCATATACCTGTGGGCTGTGCAAGCAGCTCAATTGGTAAGAGTACTTGCCTAGCATGCACAAAAAGCTGGGTTCAATCCTCAGCATCTTCGAGGGTACGCACCACTAAAGCCAGAACTCGGGAGGGGGAGGAAGGAGGATCAGAAGTGCAAAGTCACCTTCAGTTACATTTTAGTTTGAAGCCAGCCTGGGACACATGAGGCTCTGTCCATGATTAATTAGTAAAACGTATGCAAAAATACAATATTGTGTGTCTGCCAGGGTGTTTGTCATCTGTATTGGTATACATGGAAGTGTTGTGAGGTCATCTGAAGATAAATATTAGGGGCAAAATACCTGTGTTTGAAATGATATCAGTGCCGTCATTTCAGAGGGAGTGGGGCTGGAAGCATGGGGAGTGTGGGGGCAGAGGAGAATGATGCAAGGACATATCCTTTATTTTCTCATAATGATGTGGAGGGTGAGTGTGCAGGAAGGCAGAAGCGTGAAGGAGAAAATGCAATGGCTTATGGTTCTTGGGTTAATTAAGTCTCGTGAGAGACAGAGTCTCTTCTAATGGATCATTATTTTTCATAAGAACTTCCAAATGAACCCATAAATCTAACTGGTGGTGCAGCATCATTCTGAGACATCAAAGTGGGCTAGAATGGACCAGCCACTCACCCACTAGCACCTGCTGTGAGCCAGGAGGGAGCCAGGAACAGAACTCTGCTTCAAAGCACTGAACATCCACAGGGAAGACATGGGAAGCAGCTAAAACTCACAAGGGACCCTAGAGCCCTCAAGGATGGCGGTGATGGGGGTTATAGGAACAAATAGGTTGGGGAAGTGAGGTAGGAGAACATGTGGGATACAAGTGTGAGTGAGGGGCAAAGATATGTGCAAAGGGGCAGATCCATGGAGAGCTTTCCCTGGACCCATGTCTGGGTCACTGAAACTGTAGTGCAGACCACCACCAGTTCAGCTACCAAAACTAAACTCCTGGTGTTCAGGAGCCTGGTGGCAAGCCTGGCTTCCTGAGTCCCAGGCCTGGGGGATGCTGTTGCTTTGGGTCTTTTTCATGAACTGTGAGGCCAGACCTCTTGAGGCAGGGGTGCATGAGGAGGGGCACTCTAATTTAGAAGGTTCTTTTGCTGTTATTGTTAAGCTGGGTGTTGCTATGTAGCCTAGGATGGACTTCAACTCCATGTCCTGGCTCAGCTGCACACATGCTGGGATTATCAGCATGAACAACTTTGCACAATTCTAAATGGACAGTTATAGACAACTTCTCCTCCTCCTTCTCCATCTCTCTCTGTCTCTCACTGTATCTCTGTCTGTCTGTCTGTCTCTTTCTCCCTTTTCTTTAATTTTCTAAAAGTTAGAGACTGGGAAGATTTTTCTGTCTCTAACTGTATGATCATGGGGGCAGTGGGCATGCAAGGCATTCACATGCCACAGCACAGACGTGGAGATCAGAGGACAACTTGCAAGAGTTGATTCTTTCTTCCCTCCATGGGTGTTCCAAGAATCAGACTCAGGTCCCCAGGCTTGGTGGCAAGCACCCTATCCCCCATGCCATCTCACCAGCGCCAGAGTTTCTTCTTATCCTGCACAGGTACTCAGGTTCACCTCAGAGCAGTTCCATGACGTCACAGGTTGATGTTTCAGGAATTTCAGCTTTCAAGTAGGCAGGCAAGCCATTATTGTTCATATGCAATCTTCATGTATATTTAGACAGAACACTTAGAAAAGTTTTACTGCTAAATATATTTCACCCAGCAAGCTAGAACAGTTGACAAACCTGATACAATTTCATGAGCTCAGACCATGCAGAAGGAGGTACATGTACTGTCAGAGAGGAGGGGTAGATTCAAACTCCTTAAAGGGCATTGACTATTGAGTAAGATTGTAAATCTTTTTACTCTAACACATACACTACCAGGGATTTATCCTATACACATTCACAAAAGAGTGCTTAGAAACTCCCATCACTTCACTGTTCATAAAAGAAAAACTCAGAACCCTCTTAAATAAGTAAATAAATATGTACATATAATTTAAATAAATGTATAGTAAATATATAAATATGTATTTATAAGTAAATGTATATGTGTGTGTATGTGTGTAATAAATATATAGTAAATATCTAAATATGTATTTATAAGTAAATATATATATATGTGTGTGTATGTATGTATGTTTCTAGTGTATCAGTGGAAGTCCCAAAATGACGTTAGTAGATGGATAAGGAGGAGGCAATGATGACGACCCGTGTCTCTAACCTGGGCAGGGGAGTGGCTGGGATTGCCAGGGTGGTGTATCTAGCAAAGACAACTAGTTCTAATGTTTGAATGGAAAATGAGACTCAGCCGAAAGGGGTTGGGAGATGAGAAAGGAGGTGATTGCCGAGGAAAAGAGAATGTGCAGAGGACCACCAAGGAGGTGAGAGGATGACTGTAAAGAGTTCTGACGCGAAAAGGTTGGCCAGACATGCACATTCCATGAACAAGAAATTATGATTGATGTGACTAAAGCTTCAAGATGTTAAGTTGTGGAAATAGGACTTAAAATAAGTGTCCTCCTATTACAAAGCAGTTTGATAAGTTTCGGGATCTTCTATTCATCTGTAAAGCGGGAATAATAGGACACACACATACACACACATGCACACACATGCAGACATACATACACACACAAACTGATACACATATACACAGAGAGACACACAGGCACATACACAAATAGACACAGGCACACATTCAGACATAGACACATACACACGGGATCGGGAGCTATGTAAAAATGGCATCATTTAATCTTCACCAGATCTTTCAAAGTAGGTTACTTCTATCTCCATCTTATTGATGAAAAGTCTCTTCTGAAATGGATCGTGTAAAGCTCTGGAGCCGGCACATGAGAGACCTTGCATAGAAACTAGCACCCAGGGCCTCTAAGACATTTTCCCACATGCACATCACTCTCCTCTCTAGGGATAATAGCACCTCCCTACCTATCTCAGGGCTTGTTTTGAATTTCAAATGAAGACTTCAAGGGACCCAAAAATCTGATGATCCCAATATGACTGGTTCATGATCACATTCCAAGACATCTTTTCTTGTTTGGATAATAATGAAACAAGCTGGCCTTACAAAACATAATGATGATTATCACTGTTGATTGTTGAGCAACTTCTTGGAAGGGACAGATTGATTTTAATTTCTAAGCACCCCTCCTCATACAAAGCATTTTGAATTCCTGCACATGCGAGTGTGTGTTGTGTGTCTGTGTGTGTGTGTGTGTGTGAGAGAGAGAGAGAGAGAGAGAGAGAGAGAGAGAGAGAGAGAGAGAGGAACACACCTGCACACAGCTATTTGTAACTATATTCACAGTATGAATGGAGTTAGGTTTGTTCCTCTTTCCTGTCAATCTTGGGCGGTGTCAAGAAATACTCTCTCCTTCCTCACACTGCCTGATAATTTTGTTAAGAATCACTTAGATTATAAACTTGCTTTTCTCACTTCCCAGGCATCAACAAGAACCGGCTTGGTGTGTGTGGCTGGATTCTGTTTTCCCTTTCCTTGCTGTTGATGCTCATTACCTTCCCCATCTCCATATGGATGTGCTTGAAGGTAATGCCCTGGGAAACAAATAGGTGTCTCCCTGTTGACTGACAGACATTGAGACTAAAGGTTCTCCCTTAATCTCTCAGATCATTAAGGAGTATGAACGTGCTGTTGTCTTCCGACTGGGACGCATCCAAGCTGATAAAGCCAAGGGACCAGGTATGGAGACTGTGGACATCTGTTGCCACAACCCATGGGAACTATTGAGTGTCCAAGAAAACACATAGAAAGCTGGAGACCTTGTGTTTTAGGCACAAACATGCTCCATTGGGCATGTTAGTGGGAGAGGCCACCAGTTTGAGTATTATGAAATCTGAGCCTACATTGACTGGCTGTCATTTATGTCCAGGACTGTAAAGAGCAAAAAGTCCAGGGAATGAAGGAAGAAAGCAAATGGCCCATGTGGCCCATTAAATTACCCACAGGGACTATTCAAGGAGGTGGATTGTATTAATGTTTGGAAAGGGCTACACACACACTGCATACATATATACATACATGCACACATACATATTCCCCTGGTGGGGAGCCTATGGATAAAGGCACAAGCCTCTTAGTGGAGTCTTCTAGTTGTGAAAATGAAGACCTGGAGACCCAAATAGATTTAATTATTTGTCAGCGAGTATCACAGTGGCTGATGGTAAACAAGAGATTCCAGGCATCTAATACCAGGTACATCTTTTTTTTTTTTTTTTTTTTTTTTTTTTTTTCCCATGCTGTCTATAGCTCTGGGAAGTAAAGAGGGTCACAAACTATTCAGACTTTTTGCCTGGGGGAGGGGATGGGAAGTGTTGGATAGTAAAAAGTCCTAGACCTGCGGTCTTGGGTCACAGCTTATCTTAAACCACATAAATTGCTTGTATTTGTTTTAATTTATAACAATGACAATTTTATATGATTGACTTTAATATTATGGATAGAAAGGGCTTTCACAAAACAGTGGCCCTTCCTTGTGTTTCTCTTATAACATTTGCTTCCTGTCCCTGTTCCTACATTTTGAGTAAAACTGTTAAATCTCCAAGATCGCTGCGAGACCAGGGGTGGAAGGGCAGGAGTTTTTTATGCATGGTTAGACTCTGTACCTGACCACAGATCAACAACGCTGTATGCTGTCATATGCTACATTGAAAAAGGCTGTGAGAAACTTCCGAGGGTAATTTTATGAATGAGTCCTGATCATTCCGATAGTATAATTTTTGTCTAATTTTGTAACCAACCTAAGAGGATGGGCAAGAAGTGCTTCATACAGATGCTTTTTATCCATTTGTCGAGACATCAGTGTTAGCCTGTCTACCAATGAAGAGTCAGCAAGCGCCTCTCCTCAGTCATGCTCCTGTCTGAAGGGCCCAAGACTGTTAAAATAGAACTAGAGTGGGGAGACAGGCAGAGCAGCCACCACTTGGAAAACTCCTGAGGAGAATGTGTCTTTCTTAAATGAATTCTCCCAAAAGACTTCTCTGCTAAGAGTCCCAGGATAACAACCCGCGTCATGCATGTCTCTGGGGCTAACAGTTTACCTCAGAACATCACGAGGACCAAAGGGAAACAAGCCAAATTGCTAAGGTGTTTGTAAATGGCAAACTGTCCTTTAGTAATAAAAGTATTGACAAGAAGAACAGCCATATCCATTACTTCGTGGAGGCCAGACATCTTGTTTAGTACTTTGTTGTCATGGTGACCTGTGTTTCATCTTCACTACATCTTATATGTCATTGGTAATGGAAGCTCAGGAAAGATCAGTGAGTGGTCCCAGGCATGAGGTTGGCTGACATTGAACTCAAGGTAGTTCTTAGGAATTTGAAATTAATCAGAGACACCACACACACACACACACACACACACACACACACACACACACACACACATGAAAACACGGGAGGGAGAGAGAGAGAGAGAGAGAGAGAGAGAGAGAGAGAGAGAGAGATGACAGCAGTAGGGTGGGGATTCTTACCACAGGACTAAAGAAAATTAAGAGAACAAAATAAATCTTGAAATACCATGAATTAATGGCCAAAGCAAGCCACTGTGTACTCATCCCATGTGGCTGGCTCTCCACTCAGACTAAAGGCTGATTTCTGCCTTGAAAACAAATCCAGTAACATAAAGATTTCTGATGTGTGGAAATGGATCCATGTCCTCATTGCCGTCATGACTGTGGCTGTGACGCTCATAAGAACAAAAGCTTCTGGGGTAAAGCTGAGGACTCACAGTGTTCTCAGATGGGCTTTCTTACTTTGCCCCTTCCCTGACCTGCTCCAAGCCCAGTACTTACTACTCAGAAACAGAAGCATTGCACCTGGGGGATGCCATTACACTTGAACACAGCTAAAGAGATATGTCAATTTTCAGTTCTGCAGTGCACTGTTTGCAGGGAACCTGGGCCCCTGGAAGACTGTGCTAGTCAAGTGCCAACCAAATATATATACATATATATTACATATTATATATTATACATGATTGATATACACAAATATGCATACATGCATATGTTTTTGAGACAAACTTTAATTTGTCCAACTGGGTTTGGTTGGATTCTTTATGTAGCCCAGGCAGGACTTGAACTTGCAATCCACCTGAGTATCTGTTGTCCAAGCTGGATTTGGATTCCTTATGTAGCCCAGGCAGGACTTGAACTTGCAATCCACCTACTTCAGTCTCCTTCCTGAATCCCTGAGACTGGGTGGAAGATTTTAATGTGTTATTCTCCTTGTTTTTGTATTTTGAGACAGGTTTCTCTGAATTGCTTTGGAGCCTGTCCAGGAACTCACTCTGTAGACCAGGTTGGCCTTGAACCACTGAGATCTGCCTGCCTCTGCTTCCCCAGTGCTGGGATTAAAGGTGTTCATCACCAATGCCCAGTTTTAATACAGTATTCTTTTAGCAGTAACTAATAATCACAGCCAAACTTGACTCTTTCTAGTTAGGAAACCAATTTCTTAGATATTGTTTTAAAACGAACCTCAAAATAAATGCTTAAAGAGAAGTCAATTACTTATGAACAAAAAATTAAAAACATGTGTGTCAGGGCTCTTTTTAGCATTTTGCCAAAGGTCCTTAATTCCTAAGCAGTTAATTTCCTTTACTTACTGAATGACCAGAAGCAGTCACCTTCCCCAAAGTTGAGTGTTTCCTTACTGAAGATCCAAAAAAATGCATATAGCACTACAAAAACGATGTTCAACATACCTAGAAGACCATCTGTAGTTCTTTTGAACAGGTCAAATTTTAAATCAATTTTCTTTTTGCAAAGGTTTGATCCTGGTCCTGCCCTGCATTGATGTGTTTGTCAAAGTTGATCTCCGAACAGTTACTTGCAACATTCCTCCACAAGAGGTACAAGATTAAACAGAGTTACCAAAAAACGAAACCCCTGGGTTCCCTATGACCTGGGCATAATTTTAACCTACCAGGGGGAGTGTGGCTTAATCCCCATCCCCAACCCCAGAGCCTTCTTGAAGTGATTCAGGTGGCTTTAATTAGCCAAATGAAAATGAATGGGAAGGGCGGGCCTGAAAGGCCGAAAAGCTGTGGGATAGCCAGGTGGAGGCAGATTGGAGCTGAGGAGTTAGAGGGGGTGGGGTAGGAGATCAGCTGCACTATCCACAGTCTTCTCAGAGGGGCGTTTGTTTGTTATTCTGTGTGGCTTTGGAGCCTGTCATGGAACTCGCTTTGTAGACCAGGCTGGCCTCGGACTCACAGAGATCCTCCTGCCTCTGCCTCCCGAGCACCGTCTTTCTTCAGAGGGACTTTTAGAGACAGTGGCATAGTTGACCTTTACTTTTGTTAGTCACTTTTGGTTTATGTGTTGGGATAGAACAAGTATAGGAACATTACAGAGACTACACAGGACCTGCTTGAATTTGGACTTCAAATTATTCTTGAAGTCGTATGAATTAATGACCCAAAGCAGTAACTGGGTGCTAGAGAAGAGGAAGTGATGCTGACACCCACACCACCCTCTTATAACCAAAGGCATCTAGAAGAAAGGAAGATGCAGGAAAGATGGAGGGGGGCTAAAGTGAAAAGCAAGCAGGAAACCAATCAAAGTCCAGGCCACTGCAGAGTGGGGGGGGGGGGAGAGAGAGAGAGAGAGAGAGAGAGAGAGAGAGAGAGAGAGAGAGAGAGAGAGAGAGAGAGAGAGAGAGAGAGAGAGAGAGAGAGAACCTTTGTTCAGAACGACTGTGGCTGGGTCTCTAGAGCTCTAGAGCTCTGGTGCTTTGCTTGAATATAGAACACGGTCTCTGGCGCCATCTATGTTTCCCAAGAAGCTCTGCTTCTCCTTTAGCCCCACAAGACTAGCACACCAGTTAGATAACATCATGCAAATTCTGTTTGGAAGAAGGCCTATGGGATGTAAGAATTCTCTAAGTTGACGCTACAGGGATAGGTAGGGACCAAACCTGTGCAGTCATTTAGCTGTGAGATTTTCGAAGCCAGGACCGATGTTTGGCGATTGCTAGCATGAGTAAACGATGACGTCCTTCTGTAAGGGAGGCTGGTTGCCTCTTTGCCAATTGTAAACTAACTCACACGTGGTCTCCCTCTGTGTATGCTCTGCAGATCCTCACAAGAGACTCTGTGACCACCCAAGTGGATGGAGTCGTCTATTACAGAATCTACAGCGCTGTCTCAGCAGTGGCCAATGTAAATGATGTTCACCAAGCCACATTTCTGCTGGCTCAGACCACTCTGAGAAATGTCTTAGGGACACAGACCTTGTCCCAGATCTTATCTGGGAGAGAAGAGATTGCCCATAGCATCCAGGTAAGAACCACAGAGTACTGTGAGCCTGCATCTTGAATTCTGTCATCTCGGTGGTCCATGACTACCAACATCAATACTTCAGAATAGAGCCTCTCTGACTCAAACATAGCTGTCCTCTCAAGATGGCTTTCCTTATTGCTGGTAATGTATCATCAATCATAAGGTATAGATTTAAAGATTTGCATGGGGGCCTGAGAGATGGCTCTGTGGTTAACAGCACTTGCTGCTCTTGCAGAGGACCTTGGTTTGATTCTCAGCTCCCACATAGTGACTCACAACCATCTGAAATTACAGTTCCATGGGATCCATGCCCTCTCCTCATCTCCTGGATACCAGGCACATATGGTGCATAGACATACATGTATGCAGAACAACTATATGTATAAAACAAATGTTTATAAAACATTAAATGTTTGCATGAGAGAAGGGAGCTTTGGGAATTGTTCCTCTTTCTTTATCTCTAAATCTGAAATTATGAACAAACACTGCAAGTCAACCTTTTAAAAAACAAGTTACAAGCCATATTTATGTCCAGTTTAAACTACTCTAAAAGAAATACAACCCTTATCAGGCAGCCCTTGGATCCCTACATTTCAGTGGTGTAAAACAAAAAAGTTCATTTGAGACAGCAAAAAATGGGCAATACATGGACAATTTAAACCTCATAGTATAACCAAAGTCAATAATCATCCATAATAACCACTGAATGTGTAACAAATCTGGCCCCACTACTGTCATATTCTAGTTTATAAATAGCATTTCTGTGTTTTGTTATGTCCACAACTTTGTGATTCTGAACCTCCTGTCTGTAAGTCAGAAGGAAATTCAATTAGAATCCTTCAGAATAGTCACTTCACCTCCCAGCATCATTAGTGAGTTTAGAAAAGACGGTCTCCCCAAACACACCAGACACATGAGCAGGTCACATGTCTTCTAATCAATGCCTTTTCGTCTGGAAACAGACCTTGCTTGACGATGCCACTGAGCTATGGGGGATCCGTGTGGCCAGGGTGGAAATTAAAGATGTCCGGATTCCTGTGCAGCTGCAGAGGTCCATGGCGGCTGAGGCTGAGGCCACCAGGGAAGCCAGAGCCAGGGTAAGAAACACTGGGTTAGCATGGTGGTGGAGAAGGATGGAGCTGAGGGGAGAATAGAATCCCAATTATTGATCCAAAAGAGATTCTTTCCCAAGAAATTCCCTAAAAGACAGTGGACAGCTTACCACCCCTTTGAGGAAGCTTGGGAATAGGTCAGGACTCTGCTTATTGCATGTGGGGTAATCGAAAATGCAGGAAGCAACACTGGCCATATCAGTTCTTCAGGAGAATGTGACTAAACAAAGCTTTTCAGATCCCTTGAAGCAGAGCCAGGAGTCACACAGGAACCACCATCAATTATAAAGCTGACATTTCTGAAGCGACCAACTTAGTGCTTTGTTTTAAGCATCGTTACTGGAGTATGATAAATGTTACTGGCTTTAAAAGAGTGACTGAATACAAGCCAGGTTAGAATGAGAACATTCAAAACTCAGTCTGGTCTGAGTGTCCTAGAATCTGCTGTCACATTTGTTCTGTATGGATAGATTTTCTGCTGTGAGAGATTGGAAATCTTCAGATACGACACCAAACTGTGGCTAAGGAAGGTTTTCTCTACCCTTGTTCCTTAGTCATACTTGCTTTGTCTCCTGAGTGCCAGGAGCTCCTAAGTAGGACTCTTTTGGCAAGGAAAGCAAGTGCTCACAGATGGGTCAGTTGAGCCCTGGTCAGGGTTTCTCTTGGGTAATCTCAGAATTTAGAAGAGCAGTCAATAGAGAGAGTCCTAATGAGGGTTATTGGACTCATTACTTCTATGATCAAAAGCTGAGAGAATATAAGCAATTTTGGCATTGTAAAGATGAGACTAATTTGGCAGCAGAATAAAATGAGAGTCATAGAGATGGACAGCTCAGGCAGTAAGGACATTTGTCATGCAAGCCTGACTTCCTGAGATGGGTCCCTATAATGCACAACAGCAGAGACTGGCTCCCAATGCTGTTCTCAGGCCTATATACACATCCTGAGGTTAGAAGGTCAAGTTCTCATTTGCATATAAATGACACTTCTTTTATCTGCTTGAAAATAAACTTGAGAGCTAATAATTTCTAAAATATCTAGTTCCAGTGTCCTAGTCTATGCCTCTGTTGCTGTGATAAACACCACAAACAAAGCTAACTTAAGGAGAAAAGGGTTTATTTCAGTCCAGGCAGGAATTGATGCAGAGGCCATGGAGGGATGCTGCTTACTGGCTTGCTCCTCATGGCTTGCTCAGGTTGCTTTCTTACACAACCCAGGACCATCGGCCCAGTGATGGCACGGCCCACTGTGGCCTGGGTTCTCCCTTCTCAATTATTAATCAAGAAAATGCCATCCATAGACTTCCATGGGAAATTTAATGTCGGCAATCCCTCAACTACGGTGCCCTCTTCCCAAATGACTCTGCTCTGAGTAAAGTAAAAACAAAACAAAACAACCCCCCCCAAAACCAAACCAAACCAAACCAACCAATCAAACAAACAAAAACAACTGGAACAAAACAAAAACCACAACTAACCAGAACATTCACTTTGTGCAACTTCTTGAATTTTTTCAAACCCTCTAGAATGTGAAAAGCTTGTCTTTGCTAAGAAAGTGAGCAGAGAAACAGGAGGCATAATGGGGGACACAAACCTAGGAAGAGACCATGCTGCTGTCAACTTGTTTCTCTCATTTTAGGTCCTTGCAGCCGAGGGAGAAATGAATGCTTCTAAGTCCCTGAAGTCGGCTTCTATGGTGCTGGCCGAGTCCCCCATTGCCCTCCAGCTTCGTTACCTACAGACCTTGACTACTGTGGCCACTGAGAAGAATTCCACCATTGTGTTTCCCCTGCCTATGAACATACTTGAGGGCATTGGTGGCATCAGCTATGACAACAATAAGAAGGTCAATGTTAAAGCTTGAGGTCTTCCAAGTCACTGCTTACTGCTTAGAAAGGCCTTTCTGTACCATGAGAAGTCAGCCATTAGAAAAGAGAGAGGCAGTTACAGTAACTCCACAACTAGCAGAATTCCCAGAGGGAAGCATAGCACCTACACAAACACAAATGAGCTTTTATTTTTTTTTAAGGCATAACCAATATTCAATATTCTTATGTAACTAGTAGCTGTCTGTGACAATCATCAGGGGCTTTCTCTCAGAAGGATGGAGGCTATGGGTGACTTTGACAAAAACTTTAGGTTTAAACTGTGTTGGAGAAGGACCCTGGGTCATTTGTAAAGGAAAGCAGAGACTGCCTTTTTGGTGTGTATTTGATCTACTGCTCCAAGAAAATTATTTGCTATAATTCCTGTAGATGTAAGGAAATCCCTCAAGACTGAAACTTAGGATCAATTTGAATGTAGAAAACAAAGTTCTGCTGCAATGTAGCAGCAACAACACAGGACAAAGGTACCAGCTGAGGTCCAGCTCTCTAGACAAACTGCATGTCCTGTTAAGGTGTTGGCCATTCTCAGCATCATGCACATTTAGTAGGTGCAGAGAAACAGCAAGGCAGAAACAGGGCACTTTGCTTACTAGTGAAAACACCTGTAACCACTGGGGAGGTCGTTCTGTGAATTAAATGTTTTCACAATGCAAGTCCCAAGAGCCATAGTGATTAAGAGCTGTTTGTAATCTCTCCCCAACCCAAACAACTGTTGCAAATAAAAAAGTCATAGAAAGTGAACAGTTTTTAAAATTGCTTTACTGGAGTTTATTTCATTGCCAAGATGTGATTTTCTTTTGGGATTCATTTTGAGAAATGAAGTCTATTTTATCTTATTTTACTTACCTACTTATTTGGTTTTGATACTTCCTATGTCATCCTGCTGGGCTTGGAACTTTCTACACAGACTAGGCCTTTAATCCCAGTACTCTAGAGCCAGATGCAGGATGATCTCTGTGAGTTGGAGGTTGGTCGGCTTGGTTCACATAGAAAGTTCCAGGCCAGCCAGAGCTACATAGTGAGATCCTCTTTTAAAACAAAACAAAACATCCTTCTGCAGATTCAAGGGACTCTGTCTCTTATAGCATTAAGGGTTGTCATTTCTTTGGTGCATTTTATAACTTATGCTTTTACTAAAGGCTGACTAAACAAAAACCCTCTGAAGACAAGTAAGTGCACTTGGTAACAAAGAGGCTATAGAAGAATCATGGAGTGTAGTCTGCCAAGGATGACATTCAAAACACATCCCCACTCCCATCCACTGAGACAAGGGTAAGGTCCTTTCTCTGGAGGAGAGGAAGGGAAATGACAAATAACCTCTCTCGTGGGATGCATCCCAGGAGACACAGACACAGCCATTGCATTAATATTTAAGAAGGGCAAAGAACCCTTGTCAGGTGACTTCAGCTATCATCTGATAATTAGGTTCCTTAAGCACCTCCCCATGGGTGTTCTGGGTTCTTGAGTCTGCAAAGAGTTGAACAGAGGTCCACAGACCATCAAAAGTCGGGCAAGATTATTGAGAAAATAATCTTGGTGGCAGGGTATTTGCCTAGCATGTGTGGCCCTAGGTTTAGATGCAGTGTTGTGTGAGTATGTCGGGGGAACCCCACAAAAACAAACCAAAAATTAGAGAGTGGGTGCATTTCTCATTTGAGGGGGATGGCCAATAACTGAGCTGTCCCAGGTAGGCGCAAGGTAAGAAATGGACAAGTGCACAAGATTCACCAAAAACCAATGTCCTGTGTGAAATCTGAGTTTCTCTGAGTTTCTCCTGTACAGGAACACCAGGTGTGGCTAAACTTGGAATTATTTTTTTGTGAATTTGAATTGCACTTTTTCAGGGTGTGCCCTACTAGCAGCATCTGGGCTGAACACCACAGTATCCCCAAGCTAGATGTCTGCCAAGTGCTTACAGTTTGTAAGGGGCACAACCATTAAGGCAAGGTCTGCCAGAGCCATGTTTGCCATGTTCAGACTGGGTTCCTTCATTTAGAAAGTAAGGAAGCCAGAAATATTGGGAAGAAAGCTGAAAATAAGGAAAACATCCTTACTAAAACTTAGTAAAGTGGGCAGACTATGACTCTTACTTGGCTGTGGCCCCCTAAGCTTGTCACCAGGGGTGGGGATTCTGGGAAAAAGAGTAGGGTCTTGTTAAAAGATGTATTAATTCACCCATCTATTGATATCTAGGGTGACGGACCTACCCAGGGCCTATCCCTTAACCAGGAGTGACCCTTCCCAATTGGGATGTCATTTCTAGGCCAGAATTGACTCTATTCTCTTGGACAGAAGTTTTATCTAAGCTAACAGAATTATCATTGGTTTATGTGAAGTCTGGGTGTGGGTGGCCAATCAACATTGGTAATAAAGCTGGTGGATTCATCCTCCTCAGTGAAGCTAGGTCAGGTGTCCTAATCACAGCAGGGTCTAACCACCATACAACAAAAGCACTAGTGACTTCAAACTTGATTCACTGAAACATACATTGCCAGAGAGGCCTTTGACTATATCTTGCTAGAGCTGGTAGACAAGCACCGGGACTTGTGAGACTATTCTGCTAAGAGAATTTGTTTACTATCTTTTCAGAAAGATGGTGGAATATATCCACCAAGAGGCATTTGTGAGCTCAGATCCAAAACCAGAGTGCTGTCCTTAGCAACCTGCAGGAGCTTTGCCATTTTAGTACAAACAAAAGCTACAGAAACACATCACAGTAGACTGGTCATTTCAACACACATGTGAAGGGCTTTTATTTATATTAAAGTAAAGCAGGTGTAGTTATAGGACAAATGACAAAAGGAGTTATTTAAGGCAAGGATTTAAGAGGAAATGGCTCCACACTATTTGCATAATTAGATTTCCAGGAATAAACTTTAATATTCAGGAAACATGCGGTAACTTAGCAAATACATGAAACAATGGGACCCTGTCAGTTTCTGAAGCATTACCATGGGAAACAGGAGAGGCTGCAAATAATTCCATGACACAGATGTGCCTCTCAGTGGTAGATAAATACATTCTTGTTAATGTATTGAAGGCACCTGGGAAGGGAGGAAGTCCTTAATACAATTATAAAACACAGCCCTTCCCCTGGATAAAGCTTTCTTTTATGCATAAACTGGCAAAACAAAACAAAACAAAAACAAAAAACCTTGTCAGAAGCTCTAAGTCCCATCACAGGAAAGGCTGCTGTACACTCCTGTGTGGTCAAGTGGTCTGTCTTACAGAACATGTTTTACTTTAATCCAAGACTAACTTTCTATAATGTAAGTCATTTTTGCTATATGTTCTTTACTTTTGTTAGTTAAAAATTTACTCTCTCTCTCTCTCTCTCTCTCTCTCTAAGACACACAATGACATTGTGGGGGAGTGTCCAAGTCTTGGAAAAAAAAAAAATAAATCCCTGTAGAACTCTACTGGCCTGCTGAAGCTCTCATGTAGTCAGAGAAGGCACCGTCTGGCTAATAGCAGATCACTGGCATTTAACAAATATAATTCTAAACAACTCAAGGCTGTTGACATTCTTGGCTGCTGATCTCATGAATTTTATATATGTGATTTTGGCTTTCATGCTTAGTGAAGTCCTTAAGGGTTTTTGTTTTGTTTTGTTTTATCTTGAGACAATAAAATTGAGGCACACATGGCCACCATGTCATTCAGTTATGATCCTTTTTTGAGGGGGGGGCAGGAAGGCTCCCCCACTCTAATCCTTTAATATCTTATACATTTTATGCTGGAAGGTCACATCATACCTGCTATGTGGTATTAGGATGGGCGAGAATGCTCAGAAGGAAATGGAGGGTGCTACTAGAGACGTGGAAAAGATGCACCACAGAAAAATCTTGTCCATTCTGTTAAAAAAAAAAAAAAAAAGAGGGAGGGAAAGAAAAAGGAGGCAGCAGCAGGAGACAGCTATGCCAGTGCAGGGATAGTTTCTTGTTGGTGTTTAACACAGCGTAATACTGGGAAAACTGAGTGAAAAGGAATTGAACAAACTCCTATGGCAGGAAAAACAGAAAACATAGCTCTTCAAAAACCAAAGGAATCATACTAGTATGTTTTATTTTATCCAGTTTTGTTAGGGAATTAGTTATCTCTCTTTCTCTCCATCCTTTCCTCCCTCTCTCTCTGTCCCCTTCTACTTCCCCCTCTGTCCTCTCTCCCTCCTCTCCCCCCCATCTCTCTGTCTTTATGTGTGTGTGTTCTATGTGGTCTTTCCAGTGGAAAAGGAAAGAAAACATGTCCTACTTTCCTACTTTTAATTTCTGATCAAAATGGAAGTAGTCACTCAACCCTTCCAACCTTCCCTTCTCTGATAGGAAGGGGTGGGGGTGGGGGACACAGTGGTGTGGCTGTGAACTGATACATCTGTCCTGAAATGCCTATCATGTAAATCTAGGAAAACATTTTAAGGAAATAGATTATCCTTTGAATGAATATCAGAAACCCCCACATAGGTTTTTACAAATGACCTTTAGGTTGACCTTGAAAATCACCCATGTTATAGTTAATTTCTTATTGAGATTCTTTTTGTGTGCATGTGTCCACAAGCATTGTTAAAAGCAGTAGTTGTAGTTTCATTCCTAACTATATACAGCTGAGTGCTGGTGAGAAACTAGACGTTTGAGACCCATTCATTTGTATTAAGTCAGTGAAAACTCTTGTGTTCTTTGTCTCATGGTTGCTATCACTGGTAGAATGAGCACAAGAAGATGGTCCCGTGGCTGCTTTCAAAGTCATACAATCCTGAGAATTTCCAATTTGTAAAGAACTTACATAATTACAAATATTCTGTTTTCTCTCTATCAAAGGACTGAATGTTTCCATGTCAACACTAAGCATGGATTTTCAAAATGAACTCCGCAACTCTTTAAACTCCGTGATTCTGCTTTGAATTCTAAATGGCCACGTGGCCACTTCACGTTCCTCCTCCTGGAAACACTCTAACCCCCGGCACTCTCTGTAACCATTTTTATGGTTTTTTTTTTTCTTTTTGGTTTTTGAGACAGGATATATATATTGTTTTGGAGCCTGTCCTGGAACTAGCTCTGTAGACCAGGATGGCCTCGAACTCACAGAGATCTGCCTACCTCTGCCTCTGCCTCCTGAGTGCTGGGATTCAAGGTATTTGCCAACCAATACCTTGCCATGCTCTATGTAATCTTTACATACTTGGTTTCGTTTGGTTGAGACAGGGTCTCTCTATGTTGTTCTGGTTGACCTGGAACTCACTATGGAGATCCATCTGCCTCTCAATCCCCAGGGTTGGTATTAAAGTCTTGTACCAACATACCCAGCCATTTTTACATTAAAATATAAAAAATTTCCCCAGGACCTTGTGCTTGCTAGGCAAGTGCTCTGTCAGTAAGTTAAATCCCCAACCCCCCAATTTTTTAATTTTTATTTTTGACATAGTCTGTCTACATGTTCTTGAACTCACTATCACCATGTAGATCAGGGTTGCCTCGAACTCATTAGGATCCACCTGCCTCTGCCTCTGGAGTGCCCGGCTTTACACATGTTTAAATACTGACTTTGAAATTATTACCCTGGGAAGGACACACAGTAAGGTGGCTTGATAGAAACTTTTTGCAGACTTATTTATTTATTTATTTGAGTTTCTCGATATTGCTTTGGAGCCTGTCCTGGAACTAGCTCTATAGACCAGGCTGGACTCGAACTCACAGAGATTTGCCTGCCTCTGCCTGGGATTAAAGGTGTGTGCCACCACCCCCCAGCAGAACCTTTTTGCCATTCACACTTGATTTTGAGTGTACATGGAGTCTTTACAAGCACCAGGCTGTGTGCTGGTCTTTACTCACAGTGCTCATATGGAACTTGCTATTATCTTTATGATTAAAAGTGTGGACTCTAATGTTGATGTTCTAAGCGGTTTTCATTGTGGGTCACAGACATAGAGAGGATTCTCTTCTATACTGACACATTCCTCCAAAGGAAGCCTTGCCTGATTAGCAGATGCTCAAAGGGTGAGTAGCCCAGTGTCCAGCCATCGCTCAGAATGATGATCAATCTTAGATGAGAGGGCAGTACTTTTCTAGGCAGTATTGTTGAAGTCTCCCTACCTGGGGACTGAGGCAGGAAGATTGAAAGTTCAAGGCCAGCCTGAGCTAAAGAGCAAGTTCACAACCAGGCAGGACAACTTTTTAGGTTGCCACAAAGCAAAATTTTAAGAAAGGGTTAAGAGGGTTGTAGGTCAGAGGTAGAGTGGCACCTAGCATGTGTAATCCCATTACCCATGCATTTTAATGTTTTCTTGTTCATGTGCTTAGGAGAGGCACTCATGGTAACATTTATTTTTGCTTTTTAAACAGATGTTGTCCTGTTTCAGGAGGTTTGGAGGAAATCAAGAACTATAATTGCTGACTTCCTATTCTTTATGGAAAGTTACTTCATATATTTGTTCTCAAAATAACAGAATATTTAAAAAACATTGGAAACAAGGACTTTATTTAAAGAACACTTTTCCTATTGAAGACTTCTTAAACAATTACTGTATTTTAAGCAACATATTTAGTAAATAGATATTTGTGAAATTATGAAAAAGTACAAATAAAAGAAAACAGGAGAGAGATGGGGAGAAAGAATACTGACATTTCCTGTCTGGGGGCGGGGGGGGGGGAGGGGGAGGATAGACTTATTTTGTATTTAACATACCATCTAATTTATAGGCAATAGCTTTGTTAGAACAATGTAAGGTTGATTGGAACTTGGTATTGAAAGCTGCCTGGCTAAAAAGTGTTATAATGATGTGTCACAAATTACTATATTCCCTTCCTGATCTGAAGATCACAGGGCTGTCAGGCTTGGAAGCTCTCAACTGCTAGTGACAGACAGCTAACCGAGACAGTCACTCTAACATTCTTCAGAAGTTGAGCCCAAAGCTTAGTAGCTAAAATTCCTACCCTGTTGGTATCATGCTAATTCCCAAATTAGGGGAGGTAGCCAAGCATGGGGCTGAGTATCTGCCAGAAGTAAAACAAAGAAAGATTGATAACAAACCACAGGATCTGACTCTGGGGTGGGGGCAGTGCTTTGTGTTCCTGAGTCCTCTTGGGGGTGGGGGAAGCTTTGTGCTGTCAAAAGAACTCCTGAAGCTCCCCAATAAAAGGAAACTAGAGTCTACCTCATCCCTTGGAAGACACAGAGTGGGAAGGGAAGCAGGCATCAGACACTCACTTCCTCTCCCTAAGGAAGTGTAACTCCCCTTTCTCAACTGAAAGATGGCAGGTACAGACAGCTACTGACATACAGGAACAACAGTGAGGAAGTTTGCCTTCCATATATCTCCATTCTACCGGGAAGCCCAGCCTGGCCAGGGTGTGGCTGAAGTGTGAAGGACTCCATGCAACGCTGGAGGATTATGTTTACAATGCAAAGGCACTTCATCTTTGTATGAAATATGTTTACTAGGTTTTAGGGATGTGGCCATAACTCTGCCGGAAATGCCCCTCTTCTGAACAGAATTTCTGATGTAGGGTAAAAACACATTTCTGCAGAGAGTAGGCAGTGCCAAGGAAACTTTTACACAGTGAATAAGCAAAGTGACAAACCACAGATAAAGTCCCATAGGGGGAATCTCATAGCACCGCCTCACTGAACTAGAGGGGCTAGACAGATATTCCTGGATCAATGGAGAGTGTGACTGACATCACCGGCCACCTCCGAGACAATTTCTGGAGTGACATGTATAGAGATTCCCATTACTTAGACAGATATAAACCTAATACAATTTCTGATGGTTGCTACAAGCACTGGATGTTGTTGTGTGGGTGTTACCCTGAGGGCTAACATGACCTGCTGTCACTGTTTTAGATAGCATTCCTAAGAGGCATTCTGGTTGTACATAGCATGCCGATCAGTTCTACTTTCACCCTTCACCATTGGTAGAGATGTTTCTCATTATTTATGGGTTCAGTACTGCAAACATCTAGGCTCAGTTCTTAAGAACATTGTCTTGTAGTGAATATAACTCTATGGCATCTCTTTGTTGTCAATTCTACAACTCTCTCGCTCCCCACTAAGGCTGGATACCAGTGAGGTTGATTAGTAAGAGTGTGGCTGCTACTATATACTAAACACACCAGTCTCTTAAAAATCATTTCCAGAATTAATATATTCTTTGGTTTAACTTAATGTTAAATAAGCAAACAAGACAAATGAGGTCTGAGAATGAGAAGCTATTTGATCCAAATGAGGCATTTTCCTTTTTCTATTCATTTTTTTCCTATGTTTTCCCAATAGTAAGAGGTGATTTGTGGGTTGAGCTAGCCCTGGTCATGACTTCATGCTGTCTTCATGGATTAGAAAACTTGTCATAACAGTGTGTTCATCACCCTTTTGGACTACCAATTAGATACTTTAGTTATACAATGAATAAACAATGTGATAACTGCATTGTCAAGAGTCCCCACTAATGTAACAATAACATAACAGGAAATGTCTCTCAGACATCCCAGAGAGTCCTTTAGCACCTTTGAGCATCACTGAGTAGGTTCATCTCCACTGATGCCTAAAATAAGAAGCACCTCCCCTGACATCCATCCAAGGCTCTAAGCATCCCAGATGCCTTCTGGGCAGCAGGAAAGAGGTGGCCTGGATTTGACCTTTGATGAATGTATAATGCAGTGGAGTTTAAATCAAAATCTTCTATTACAGTCAGGGTCTCTAAGCACCTATGTCACGGGAAGTTCCTATTCTCTTCTGCTGGCCCCAAACAGTTGGAGTTCTTGCACAGTTTTTTCTGAGGCACATGACCAGGTGGTCACACCTCCGAGCTGTCACTGTAGTGGTTCTGTGGAAGCACCATGGGCTCACTGCTTCCAGAGCCCTGGGGAGCATTCTTGCCCTTGATGCTTTTGTTCTTGCACACAAGGACTGCAACCACAGCCAGGCAGACAATGAGCAATCCCCACAACGCCTCCCAAGACAGTGACAAGGCTGACTTCAGAGCTGGGACTATTGAGCTCCCAGGGCAGGATGCCATCAGGAGGGAATTCTTCCATAGGGGACCTGCCTCTTGTCACGACGGTCCAGGGAGATATGCTGGAGATTTGTCCCCCGATTGTTCTCAGCACCGATTTCCCGTGCCAGTGAGGGTGTGCTCTGATTGCTCTCTTCTTCCAGCTCTTGGTAGTTGCTTGGGGATGTCCCTGATGCACCACAGAGTGGTACAGGTACTCCAGGCTCCTCTTGCCAATACCTCGATGGCTGTTGTCCTTTGACTTGACCGTGTAGATTGTGTGTATATACCATTCTCTGCCCAAAGCAACCTAGAAAACACAATCCTATGTGTTAGGAAGCTCAATTCCATGTAAGCCCAATATCAGAACTATTTGCAAGAGAAATTAATGACAGCATTCATTATAAATGATCATTCTGTCTGTGAATTAATTTACACCACACTCTTCAGTGACAGGCTTTGTATCAAGCACCCCAACTCCACAATGCACTCTGTGTAACTCACGCTACCCTTGTTTTTTGCAGTCTGGGGGTTTGATATCAGGTCTTTATATATGCCAGATAAGTGCTATATCACTGCCTTATGCCCTCAGACCATCCTAATACTACTTTTAGGTGGCTATGTACTGTGTTTGCAGTCACAAAAACACTGTAAAATTTCTTCTGATCTTTCAGTCTATCTTATTAATTTAAAAAGTAGGTGGATAAGAACATACTCAGTTCTTTTTCATCTGATTAATGCTATAGGAAGACCCACACCCCAAACCTTCAGAGCCTCAGCTTATCCACAGTTACTTATTTGCCTGAAAAACCATGGGGGGTTGGGAAATCAGGTTTTTTCTTAGTTTATTTTGTGGGAAAGTGTCTCACAATTTAGCCCTGGGTTCACTGTGTAGACCAGGTTGGACTGGAACTCATGGAGATATGCTAGCCTCTGCTTCCTAAGTGATGCCACCATACCCTACAGGCAAATCAGTTTTAAGCTTTTTCCAACACCTGGAAAAAGGAATGTTTTTACAATAATCCTTTGAGATATTCAGAAAGTGAGCTGTTTTAAGAGTTCAGAATGAAAATGGTAGAATACTTGTTTGAAAAGATTCAGAGGAAGAAATAGGCTTTCTCTGTGTCCTTCCTCTGAGATGGATCAGTTGATAATGCACTGCCTTGCAAGCCTGAGGACCCCAGAACCTAAGTAAAAGAGCTGGACATGGTGGCCCAAAGCCTTAGTCCCCATACTAGGAAGATGGAAACTATTGGACTCCTAGGGGTTACTCGACAGCCAGCCTGGCCTTCTTGGTGAGTTCCAGGGCATTGACTCAAAAATAAGGTGGACAGTTCCTGAGAAGAGAACCCAAAGAGTTCTCTGACCTCCACATTCATGTGTACATGTGTGCACAGGTATGTACCCTGTAATGTGGGTATATGTTCTCTCTCTCCCTTCCTTTAGCACACACACACACACACACACACACACACACACACAGTTTTACCTGAGGTTGAGAAAGAATAACACATGTCCCCTGTGTGAGTAAAATTCTGTTTGTGTATGGATTTCCCCATAACTATCCTAAAGAACACATTTGCCCACGACACAGGCACATTTGTAGGTGTCATGCATGTCTGTCTAGCATCATCATAACTACCTATATCTCTTTACACCTTCTGTCTCTGGGACAAGATTTTTGGTCTTGGTCTATGGAATATTCAAGAGTAGATATTTTATTTCCTGTCCATGACTGCTTTTTCTGAGCCTCTCAGTTTATATAAGGCCTTACTCAAAAATGATGGATCATAAAAACACAGGAAAAAAAAACTTTGATTAAGGAAAGTAAATTGCTCAACTGTCAGACATGTGTGATAAGCTGAATAAAAGTCTTCTTTACACATTCTTTGGGGAAAAAAGATTATTTATTTTATTTTATGTGAATGGGTATTTTGTGTGCACAAATGCAGAAGGTGGAGGTATATTCTTCTTAACCACTGAGCCATCTCTCCAGCTGCCATTAAATGTCCTATATTACTACATTAATGAGATAATAGAATTTAGGGTGCATTAAACATTCCCCATTCCCATTCTCCCCATTCACTACATGCATGACTGCTCATATTTCCATTTCCCTATGCTATGCCAGAGGCAGCGGGTTAAGTACTTACTAGTTATGTAGCTACTGTATGTCTGGACCTACCTGAAAGAGTGGTGTGGAGTCTACTCTAAATCCATCTGATCCAGGCTGATTCACTAAGAGAACGGCTTCAGGGTCATCCACTGCCAGTCTGGCATTAAACAAGACATCTCCAAAGCTGGTAGCTTGCGTCTCAGGCTGAGCCTTATCCTTGAAGCAAGAAGGAAGATGGTTACTTTTGTGCCAACGATAAGTTTGCAAGGACAAAGTTCTCCTGTAACTTTGGGCAAGTACAAATCACAGTTAAAAAAAAAAAAAAGTCATTATGTAATTTAAATAAAATGGTAATATTGTTTTAAAATATAAGATAAGAAGGCTTATCCCTGACATTTGATACAGTTCATTGGGTCAAAGCACTTACCACAATTTTAAATCTATGTAAAAGCGAAGGAGAATCAGCCAGGCAGCCATATTCTGAATTCTCTGGGCTGTACTTTGGCACATAGCCATCATCCCCTGTGCATAAGAACACCTTCTCAATACTGCAGTAAAAGGAGTCACCAAGGTTCTGGACAGGGTCCACCATGACGCGACCATAAATCATGTCCCCTAAAACAGAGATAGAAATGCAGTTCCGTTACATGTGGTAACACCCTGAACTATGAATGACAACAATGACATGGCTTATTTCCTTTGCCCCCTAACATGTCACTGAACACTGAGGATCTTTCTGTGTAAACTTCAGGATCTGCTCTACTTCCCAGGACCCTGTAGACTAAGCACAGAGAAGCAAAGCATATTGATTCTCGACCCCTGATTCTCAACCTGTGTGGCAGTAATCTAAAGGTCTGATCTATCACTTGATATTATAGCATCTCTTGTAGGTAAAGTCCAATTTACATGAGTTAATTAGTTGGTGAGATGTTGACTAATACAACCTAAAAGAACACTAAGAAAGAAAACATCACTAAAAGCCTAATTCAGTTCATTTACTTTTGAAGGTGGTTTTAGCAAAGCCCCTGACATTGCACCCTACATCTCAACAGCTGTTGCTGCAGCCCATGTATTTTGCTAGGTGTTGAGTATATAGCATCAAACAAGAGAGACACAGTCTTCACCACTGAGGTATTACACAGCCCAGACATTTCAACATAAGAAAATTAAAAAAGAATTCTGGAAAACAAATGAGCAAAAACCCCAGACTTCTCCAAAAGTCACTTGGGGAATTTAGATGGAGGTTATATTTCCTGGAATGTAAAAAAAACATTCAGTGTCATATACCAAATATTAGTTATTCTTTGTGTAAGTCAAAATGAGACAGATTCATATCTATCATGTCCAAGAGGCTACAGGCTTCCTCCTGAAATGTTAATAAATCAACAAACCACAGACAGGACAACAGAACATAATAGGTACACAGGACACAGAACATCACAGACATGTAGGACAACAGAACATCACAGACACACAGGACAACAGAACACCACAGCCACACAGGGCAACAGAACATCACAGTCATGCAGGACAGCTCAGTCATCTTCTTATCTGGCAAGTGTTACCTTCTGCAAAAGCAACATCGCTTTCTTGCCCAAATCCCATGGATCCATCGGACAACCAGAGGCTCTTCTTAGACAGCAAATACATGTGAGTGTTCAGGGGCTAAACTCGGCTGCAACTGGGTCGCTGACCTAAGCCAAAGGGGAAACCTGGTGTCTACAAGCACAGACCACATTGCTCACAGACACACTATCATCACACACTGCCATGCAGAACTTGTCCTTGAAGTGGTGTCCAGCAAAAGTAGCTTAAGGAGCTATCGTTCTGATTCTGCTATTGTGAAACAAAACTGGTGATGTTACACCCTTTCTTCTTCTTGAGTGAGAGTAAGTGGCATCACTTGCACTTGTATCTACAGGTTGATCAGAGCACATATGTAAAGTATTTTAAAATATGGTCAGCAGGAGGCTAACAGTATAAGTTCTTGGACCAAGGCTGGTATTCGACTTTTGCAAATGCCTAGTCCAGTTATGTAATATGAGGTGGATTCTCATATTACTTGAAGACTGAGAATATTATGAAGTGTAGACTTCTATAGAAAATTGTCACACCTCCAAGACAGACCATTGCAGGAGAGAAGTAAGATTACATAACAACTCAATAGCTCTTCCACAAACTGAGACTATAGCTTTATGTTGAAATAAGAGCAGACAAAAGAGAGTCCCTTTCTCCTTTTCTCCCCCTTGGTTCCTTCCTGTCCAACTTCCTTTTCTCTCACTATTCGAGAATTAAAGGTCACCCACTTGTGAAAACACATGTGCTGATTAAAGAAAATCATGACTTTGAATAAAGTGGATTCCATTCTGATAGTTCTGGGATATATACCTGCTGGAATCGAATGTCAAGGTCAAAGATGACAGGCTCTCTGGGATTGCGGGTGACAGGCAGTCGGTACTCCAGGTTGGGTGGGGTAGTGCAAGGCACCAACTTTACAGTGTATGTGCCTGAGTAGTCTCGAACCTGTGAGGAGGGGAGAAGGTATTTGAAATGTGTAGTGTCATCAGAGGGCAGCAGAGAAAGGACTTGGTTACACTTACTGCGAAGTCTGACACAAAGCTCCATTGCTGGGCTGGTTGGTTATAGGTTGGGTCACTCCTGATGAGGCGGAGGGAAAAAGTGAGGCCTGGATGGTCAGTAGACACGATCACTGAGCTGGTAAAGGAGGCTGGAAAAATACCAAATGTCACAATGGTTTAGAGGTTGAATTGAAAAGGTCTACAACCATGCAGTTTCCAAAGTACTGGGTCACCTAGTTTTTAATTCGTTCTTACAAGTCTTCAAGGTTGGTATGCTTGTCTACATTGAAAAACAACAGCAGCAATAATAATAAAACCTGGGCAGAGAATGACTATGGGATTCTCCAAAGCTCTCCTAGATACCTGGAGACTTTGGACTCCTCATTACTGCCTTTCTGGTCTACATAATTAAGCCAAAATGTAGGTGCTCAGGTTTCTTTCTCCAGGGAGTCTCGTGCAGGGCAACCCAGGCTGAGTGAATGCTTGGCGAGCCACACCAAAGCCATGAGCTGAACTTAAGATATTCCATCAGCAAAGCCATCTTATGAATGAACTCTAATCTAATTTGATGTCCTGCAACCGGGGCTAATTACAGATCCAGTTCATTGGAGAGGTGGGCACTTAGAGGACACCTCAAAGTCCAGGAAATCCTCGCTCTCCAAGAACTCATCACCACAATGAGACCGTATGAGGCCCTTTTGGTCCTGTGTTTCTTACAGATTATTCTGCTTAAAAATTACAACAGGCCCTCTTTTCTTCTTGGACATTCAGCTGTTTTCTCCTTTCTTAGAGCTTGTGCACAGAAAAAGGATGGCTGCAGAGATAGCGAATGCTTCCTCTTCCAACCCAATAGAAGCGGCATTGCAGTAACATGGGAAACCAACTGGACAATGTGGAAAGCGAAAGAAAAAATGAACCACTTCTAATGAAATAGCCTTTGTAAAACAAACAAGTATGAGCTTTTGGCAGATGTCTTATCAGTATTCAAAGCACAGCCAGTCTCTATTTCTATTGACCGCAGTCAACATGTCTGAAGCTTGAGTATGAAAGCAAAATACCACTTCTGTCTCCATTCAAAGGTTTTCACAGCCCTAGAGAGGGTGCAGGGGGAGGGGGAGAGCAGAAATGTGCTGGCAAAATGAATTGACTGAAATGAAGTTTTTTTTCTATCACAGAAACAAAGCCCAGAAATGACAGTTATTCTGTGTGTTTTATGGAAGGCTTTCTGTTCTGTATATTCAGGGATGCTACATCTTCTCTGAAAGTTTGCGTAGCGATAGTTTTCCAATAGAGTGAGGTATTGGTGGGCAATGACCAAGCATTAAGGACATAATTACACATGTTGAACTCATATGAATAAAGAGCTTCAATGATAGCTAGGATGCGTGTTGAGACCTGTGTGGATGTGAAGATGTTCATATAGTTGTATGGGAGGTGGCTGCTCATGGACATAGGCTTACCAGGATGTGACAGCACAAACAAGCCATGGAACTGAGCTTCTGTCTTGAAGTTCACAGCCAGGCGTCCATCCTCAGCAATGCGCATGCTGGTCGGATAGAGCGAGCCTACAGAGAAGCACGAGAGTGTAAAAATACAGGTGGCCAGAGACCCTAGGGGTATGGATTCTCCTCTATGAGCGGATGAATTCTAAATAATAGTAATAGTAATAATATAATAATATGTGGTACAAGTTTCTTTTATAAGGAGCAATGGGGGCAAATGAATTAACTAATATGAGTCAAGTTACTATAAAATACACAAATGACTAAAATGACTATGGTACTTTTTTTTTTTTTTTTTTTTTTTTTTTTTCTTGAGTTTACAAAAACCAAGCTGTCACTTAAAATAGACAGAGTGGAGTATACCTGAAATAAAGAAGTTAAATTTCACACCTCATGCAAAGTTTGAGGCATTGGTATGATTTTGTTAAACAAGAGTTTTCTATGCATGACAACGGTTTAAAAAGTCACACTATTAGTGGATATAAAAATAAAATGTATTAAAAGGTGCTCCCATTACTTTTACGTGCAATAAAAACAAATTACCTTCCTGAATCATTACCATAATAGGTAAGAAAGTCACTTTAGGAGTCGCACCAACCCACCTTGGATTTCGGCTTCTGGTGGGCTGCCGATTCCGTGGCTCCACAGGATGGCCGTGTCATACACAAACGTGAGCCGGAGTTCTGACTTCAAGTCGAAATGCTGCCAGCCCCCACTCCCACAGGCGAATGGAACACGTAGGAAACATAAAGAGGAACTCGGAGGGTCACGTAGGACTGCACTAGGTTTAGGACCTAAAACAATGAAATTATCTGCATCAGTGCTAACCAAACCAGCCCAGTTTTGCAGAAGCCATCTCTTTTTACACCACTGTGTTTTCCTCACTTCACATACATTGTTACCACCGTCACAGGCAGCAGGGATGTGCGCCAACATTCCTTAAAATAAACACTGTTTTCAGCAAAGGCAGTCCTTTTTACTTTACAGCAGATTTATCAAAGTACAGGTCACATACCACAATATTCACCCATTTCGGTGGCTAAGTCAAGAGGGTTTTGATGTGTCCAACGAGCCATGCAACCACCACCACAGCTAACTTTAGGAACCTCTCATTACTTCCATGGGAATCGAGAACCCGGGAGAAGTCACCTTGCTCATGGTCCGGTGACCACTCATCCACGCCCTGTATTTGCCTCTTCTGAACATGCAAAAATGGGTCTTGCCAGTGCCATTTTTCAATGTGTTTATTCCTTTTATTAAGGGATAACAGCCTGATATGTAGATACATTCCATTTTATTGATCCTCATCACAGGAATGGTGTGAGTTTGGAACTATTATGAAAAATGTGTCTATGATTTGTTTTATTTTTATTTATATAGAGGAAGTTTGGATGGACATAAAGATGTGAAAACAAACTTTTAGCAATGACATGGTACAGTTATGATATTTCAAAACAATTAAATGAACTGTCTTTGAATTTTATATTTTCTTTCTTCTGGTATTCAACAATGGGGTAAGGGAGGTCAAGAGGATAAATTAACACTTATCAAGTATCTACCAATTTCCAGACAATGCATTGGTTACTAATGAGGTTATTTAGTATGTTCATTCTCATAACTGTATGTATGCAAGGTAGTTTGATGAATGGATGGATGATGGGTAGAAAGCAAAGAGGTAGAAAAGTGAAGACTCAGAGAAATTAGACAAGTTCACCAGAATTTTTGGAAAACTTATTTTTATTTTATAGTGCATGTGTGTTTTGCCTCAATGTATGTATGTGTAGGACATGGTGCATGCCTGGTACCCACAGATTTCAGAAGCATCAAATACACTGGAACTTGAGCTATAGACAGTTGTGACCACCATATGGGTGCTATGAACTAAACCCTGCAGGTGCAGCCAGTGCCCATAACCACAGAGCATCTCTCCATCCCCCTCTTCACCAGAACTCTCTGAGCTCATGTTGATCTTTCCCACACTTTACTACATTCTATACAATGAGGAACAGTCCTAAAACCACCTAACAGAAATGACTGCATTATAATCTCCAAATGCTCCAAGGACCAGTGCAGCAATCACAACACCTATCTGTACAAGAGGAAATAGCCACTTGACTCTTCTTGGATGTTCCAATCAGGCTATGGGAACTAGTCTCCTACAAAGAATCGACATAAGAACTAGACACACATTTCAATCATGAGAACTGCACTATGATATATGCCACACTATCACAGAGTTAAGAGCAAAGTCCTCATGTCACATACACAATCCAAATCAGTCATGAAAACACACATAATGAGAAGGAACCACCCACCAGACGAGCAACTTCTTAGTTCTCATCTGTAGGAAGCAGACACACCCTGCTCCCTGATAAGTCAGTGCCTTGTAACTTGAATGCTTTAAGATACGTTTTCCAAGAGCAGCCTTAGTGCTTACCACTAAACACTAAGTTCTAAAGGTCAGTTAGCACTCTGGCTGTCTGGGAAAGTAACTTGGTCACTTCATATGCCACTGGTGAGTATGATTCATCTCTCATTCTGTGACTTTAATAATCCATCAGCTAAAATGTTAGGCT